TCCCTATCCTTCCCCTGTCTCCCATCCTTTGACTACAGCTATATTCATTCCCCCCTATCCCTTCTCACTTACTGACCACCTCAATTTACATTTTCACTGGCTTTCTTGCATAACTACTGGCCTCTGGCTGCTTTACTACTCCATTCAGGAAGAGCACACACCACCTGTGGATGCTTTCTCAGTCTGATGAAAGGTGTCTGTGCCCAAAAGCTTTCTAGGAAGAATTTTTCCAACTATTAGAGTTGGTCTAATAAAATATATAGGATTTACCCAAAGAACCTTTTCTGACAAGCCTATATACATTTCTGCCATTGCTTATCTTTACAAGTATTTTTTCAATAAGGCAAATTATTTTACCAATAACTGTCTGCCAACAGATTTGACATCCTTTAACATTAAGTAGTAAATGATGACATCAAGTGGTAAATTTACCTACAGGAAATTGCTCAAGTTGCCAACATTAAGCCATTTGTGACAATGTCCAGAGTGACAGTATACAGATGTGTTTTTTGGAGAGTTTTTTGCATTATTGTGTATGGAAGTCAGCTGGTGATGCTGAAAGGGGTCTATAATAGGTGTAGGGTAGTTAAAGGGCAGTGATGTTACCTGGGTTTGGCTGTAATGTTCATAGTTTGCACTTAGGGTAAGATCCAGTAGGAGTCTTCCCATTAATATTGATGTACTTAGAACACCTTTCATTCCAAAGAGCTGTAAATGACTTGGAAATGTTAGGGGTTGAAGTCTGTCTTTAACTATATTCATGTATCTTTCATGCAATTAATTCTAACCAATTGTTATGTATCAGAACATAGACTTTGATACTAAAATAACCACCTTCCAGCAGCCTTGTGAGATACTTAATACTCTCACCCTCTGTTTTGGATAGTATAATTCCTTAGGTGAGAACTGATAAAGCCTCAGCTGTGATCTCCCTTGCACTCTGCATGCAACATGGAAAGCTTTACCATTTATTTTTCCAGGAATAATCAGCTCCATGAAAGGGACTCTGTTGAAAATTGCATCCCGTTTACACTTCTCTACATCACCATTGTTGTAGATCATGTCCACAATCTCACTGATCCATGTTGTGCCTGGAAATGGAAAGGACATCCAGGTCAGTTTTTCTCCTGTGTGCAGTAAGTGAGCAGTAAACATAAGATCAGATGCTGAGCTGGTATAAATCAGAATAGTTTCACTGAAGTCTTTTATGCCAACTAAGGATCGGCTCATTTCCTTTAGCTTATAAGGCAGACTGTCAGTACCCTCAAAGCTAGTGTCATAGACCTATCATTAGCAAGTTTGTTCTTGAACATGTGATCTCTGAATCAAAGGGCCTTTCATTGTGGAGGGTCATCACCAGAACAGATATAACATCCTAACGTTTCTGCCTCTGCCTTTTTCTGAAGAAGATATGCAAGTTTCTCACCTGCTTGCTTCAGAGGAAAATGACTCAAGAACCAATGAGTAAATCGATACAGCTCTGTCATTGACCATCTCTGAACATCTGAAGTCAAAATGTAACTTCACCCAACCCATGAAAGAACAGGTTACCTCCACTCCTCATGGTCAAAATTGGATTGGAAATTCCCCTTTCTGAACACTGATGATAGCTTTGCAGTAATATTCCAGGGGATCTGTAGTTTACAAGCAGCTGGAGATTGTTACTGGGTGTGTCTACACATGCAATTAATACAACTGAATAAACTGTGGAGCAAATTGCTCCTCAGTAAACTATTCCTGGGTACAGTCTACATGCTCTGGATGTGTGGTTTCTAACTACTTAAGAAGAATCTTGAAACAGAGCAGATTACCTGATTTTGGGTAGGTGGCAATGAGAAGGTCATCTGGCTTGGCTTGGAAGTTCTCCACTTGGTCCCACACTTCAGCGGTACTCCAGAAGAGGGGAACACCATGGACATTCTCTAATTCTCTCCTGTACATGTTTTCATCTTTTTCCATCTTGGCGGTGCTGGACTACAGGTAAAGAAAAGAATTTAAGCTCCATGCTTCCACTACAAAGTGCTTAGACAATGCCCCCCCCCCCTTCAAATTAGCACTTATTTTCTCATTAGTATTTGGGACACTTGCCGGTGTTAAATTATTACTGGTAACTTATGTAATGTCCATACTTGTATAAAAGTTATAGGGCTTGTGGCCATGCTGGCTGCCATCTCTAAAGAGTGACATGACAGCAAGACCTCACAAAGTTTGATTTAGAAGAGTGCAAAGCTTTGTACATAAACACTGTGCTTGCTCCCTAGGTAGTGTAAAGCCAGTGGAGCTCTACACCAACAGATGACCAGAAGGTGGTGCCCCCTGAATTCCTGAATGCTAGAATTAGTACCCTGATCAGTGATCAAAATATTACTGTCATTGCAATGAGAAGGAGGATGAGGACATTGGGATAGTGTTTCTGAAAAAGATTAGAAATTTAAATTGATTTAAAACATTACTGATGTGATGAAGGAAACAGTACTCAGAGTGCTACAGCAAATGAGCTACCTGAAACAGCATGCTGACTCTAGAGATGACATTCATGAGAATTAGATACACGTGTCAAGAAGAAAGCTAGTACTAGTTAGTTGTTTACTTTTTTAAACAAAGGGCCAGATTGAGGGCCCCCCTCCCCTTCAGTCACATGGAAGAGTAACTTTCTCCAATACTGCCCTACTGAAACTAGTGGGCCTTCTCATGGAGTGAGATGCTACTCAACATGAATAATCCGATCAGAATCCAGCCTTAACATCATATCCCTAAATCCTTATTTGCATGAATTAGTTTAAATCCTGCAACATGTCTATATAAGCTTTTTCATATAGTCCAAGGATGCATATTTGCATTTATATACACGGGTTGGTTATATTTTAATTTTCAGAGCAGCTTTTTCTATAAAAGCTATAATTCTGGCAAATTTGCCAATATATAGTATTAATACGTTTGACACTGCAGGGAATTCAGATGCTGTGACAGTAGCGTGTCCATATAATAGTGACAGAAGCTTGAACTCACAACATTTCCAGAGAAACATGATCATTTTAAACCTTGTGAAGTCAGATCCTCAGCCAGTGTCATTTAGTGTAAATGAGAATACGAGCTGAGGATCCTCCTCCATGTTCTCCCCCCCCCTGCCACAAACTGCTAGATAAAAAAAAAGCTCCACAAAATGAAAATCCTGTCTCAGAGGCAAACAGCCGGGTGGGTGCCATTACACTGTGTGCAGGTCATATTGTATTCTATTAACATTATATTATTTAAGGTGTTTTGGAAGATGTATCCCTTAGAAAAAAATATTGTCTGCAGAAACTGGAAAAAGCACAGGCATTTCCATTATCACTTAAAATGTAGAAAGATAAAAAATTTTTTTTCAAGAAAGCTTCACATTGAAACTTCATGTTAAATTGTCCGTGCCACGTGAACTCACCTACCATCATTCCAGGAGAATATATGTTAATTTAAAAAGGCTCATTAAATCTGACATATGCCTTGCAAAAAAGCAGTGCTCTCTCTCAAAACAATCACCTTTAATCTCTAAGCACCATAACATGATTCAAGCTCATAAAGTTTAAACCAGAATATTTTGGCTTCTATTGATCTAAAGCAGGCACTTGGTACAATCCAAGGGCTTGTCTGGGCTAGGAAACTGACACCAATAAACAGAATCAATTTAGTAACATCAGAACAAACCCTTAAGGTAAAAACATTTTAACTGCTGCTCTCTGTCACACTGGTGCAGGATTATTTTAATACAGCACAATTACCAAATTAAGTAGAAGTGTTTTAAGTGTGTTTTAACCAATTTTAGTACACCTATATTTTGGAAATGGAGTACGCTACCTTGCACTTGGTGTATACAAAGTGCATGGACATAGGAACAATTAACCTTGGAGTAAAAAGGGGAAGGGCGTTAGTACGAACTGGCTGTTCTGTGTTAATGACTTATGTGCATGCTTTGATTGTGGAATCAGAAACTAGGCTAGGGGTTAGCAACCTTCTCCAGTCATGGGCTGGGATTCCAGCTCAGGTATGATACAAGCAGTAGTAGGACGTGGCTGTCACCTTGGCCACAACTGCATCTCCCTACCACTTGGCTGCAATGCAGCAGGGGACAGCTTCTTGCTGCCCAACCACCTAGCTATGCCATAGCTCAGGAGTTTTCAACCTTTTTTAATAAGTGTACCCTCGGCAGCCCCCATTTTAGGCTGGATGTGGAGTGGGGGTGGCGAGTGGCCAGATGTGAAGCCAGAGCGGGGGGGAAGGGGAGGGGGCGGTGAGTGTCCAGATGCAGAATGGAGGGGTGTTGAGCAGTTGCAGTGCGGCGTCTGTGTGGCCCTGCTCTCGCCTTGCTCTGGCCCTGATCCCATGAGTCAGTGGCGTGGGGTGGCAGTGCTCCGTCCCTGCCCGCCCCCACATACCCCCTGGAATCTTTCAGAGTACCCCCAGGGGTACCTGTACCCCTGGTTGACAATCCCTGCCATAGCTTCTGAATGCTGCTGAAGCCCCAGATCCGCAAGCCAGCTCCAACAGGCCAGGACTGGTGCTCAGGCCATAGGTTGCCAACCCTTGAGCTAGACGATTGTAACTCACTCATTTATAGTTTAGCTACTGATTATTTTAGGGTAAGAGTTGGGGTCTCTGTAGGGTTCTGAGTTATGCTGTACAGGCACCCGCTACAAGCATTCACATGGGGAGTAATGCATAGTAGGTAGTGCACTGTAATGTCAAACTGAAGCTCACTGCACAAGTCCCATATAGCCAGGCCCTAAATGTTTGCACTGATATGAGCTGATGGTTATGCACATCACCCCATGTAGGCTTGCACTCTTCCTAACTGTAATCTAAACTTTTCACTCTAACTAATTAGCCATCCAAAGTGAAACACAAATGGACGGGCCGGGGATTCTGAGTTTGCCTTCTCACTGATGCCATGGAGCAGAAAATATTGGCATATGCTAACATCTGTTTTTCCAGTTGGTGCTCCAAGGCTGGGTCTACACAACAGACTTCACCTGGCCCAACTGGGTGGGAAGAGATGTAGGTCCTGACAAATACTAACAGGCTGGCAATAACCCTTAGATGCAATCTATACTGGGGAATCCAATGCTTCCTACTGGTACAGCCTCTGTCATTTGTAGGCTGTTGTTTTACGATTAGTATTATTATGCCAGTACAGCAGTACAAAGCACAGCTTTCCCAGTACAAATTAATCCACACAGAGTGGTCTAGGACACTAATATTCCTATATGGGTGAAGCACTTATCATGTAGAACATAGCCCCAGGTGCAGTTTGGTGCTGGGAATAAACAATAAATATATCTATTTCTCATCAAGTCTGACGTCTTGCATAAACACAGGCTCTGCAATTTCATCCCATAATACTAGCATCAAGCCTGTAACCAATTATTAAGGCCTTTCTTAGGACTACACAAAAAAAACAGGAGATCCATTTCAGCTGTACCTTGCATAAAGAAAATCCTAGCAACACAGAGCATTAAAAAATACTACACCTGTGTTTCTTGTACATGCCGTGAGCTCAGTGGTCCTTTGTGGTGGCTTACAGTTTTGCAATAACAAAAGAAGTTTCTGTGTTGGATGTTGATGCTATTGTTCAATCTATAGCAGGTGGTCAAAACTCCAGAGACCAACATTAATACTACTGAAATTATCTTTGCTGCTGCAAGACTTTAAGAACATTGATTTATACTGTAAGTGTCCGCTCAACAAAGCGTGCTGCTGCCTGCTCTTCTGTCCTCTTCTGAAGAGCCACACCACTGAGCCATGGAGGGAATAGCCCCACTGTCATTCTTGTGCTCACATGTTCATGCTGCCATGAGAATGGAAGAGTGCATTGACATAGGCCTAGACTGGGCCTATGTGGTGGGATTTCTTACACTTCCTTAACCCAGCCCATCTTAACCACTGCAGAGTGACGCAGGCCATGCAGAGGTTCTCTTCTCACTGTGATATACTGCCTCACAGGCTACCTATCCCCATGGCATGCCTCTGCTCCCACTTACTCCTCCATCCTCCCTCCACAACCCTGCAAACTACCTCCCTTGTGGTCCTCACATCAGATATGCTCCAGAACCTGAAGGGGAACAGTTTCCCATGCGTGGTACTGCCCCTGAGCTAAGAAGGCCTGCTTTTCAGCAGAGCTCAGTAGCCTGCCTTCACTAAAGTGGCTTTATTGCTTCCCACTCAGGAGGTAGCATGCCAGAATAAGGTGGCGGCACAGCACAACAGCACCTGAGAATATTGTAGGGAGGGTCGAGCAGGCCTTCCTAACCTCCCACTGCAGTCTGCTGGTGCTTAATAGCTGCAACAAATGACTATTTAGTTGAAAGCCTTGTGAAAATAAACTCAGATTGCCTCCGGGTAGAAATGAAGTTGCTCCCCAGATTTTGTGCATGTACTTTGCTTTTTATTGGCCATCTCTGTCCATAGGCTGTTCCTTTATTCTCTCTCACAGGCTCTTAATGCCCAAAGCAGTGGTACGCCACCAGCAGGTTGCATAGGGGGAGTTGGCTGGCCTTCCCACTGACAAGCACTAATGTGTTGTGATGCCCCGCTGCTCTGAGCATGCTTTCTCCAGAACGGGAAGCAGTATGGCTGAACTAGTACAGGCAGGCTACTTAGCTCTGCTGAGAAGCAGGGATCTCTGGCCCTGGCTCGATGCCACATGGGTGTCTGTGGCTATTCCACTTCTGGTTCTGGACCATATCTGAAAATTGGCCCACATGAGAGATAGGTTGTGGGGCTGCACGGAGAAGTGGGGGAAAGTTGGTGTGGTTTCTTGGTAAGAAGGGGAAAAGAAAAGTTAATAGGTTGAGCAGGGAGCAAAGGGTGCTGTACTATTTTGTGCATATCCAGTGTGGCTGGGGAGTATGTATCCCTTCTCCCCTGGCCCCCACTCATGTTGCATTTTAAGCTATGCAGGGCGCTCTCTGCAGGCCCTGGGAAGTGTGGGGAGGGGTGATTGATTACATGAAGGCCCTGAACCCCCCAGCTCTGTTTGGAGACAAGCACAACCCACACAGAGCACTTGGCATTGTTCAGAACCCGTTCCCATAGAGGGATATGGCAATGGAAGTGTTAATTGGCTTTATGTTTCTTTGGAAAGCACAAGCAGCTGCATGTCTCTCGAAAGGAACTCACAAGGTGATGTCTGCTCTCCCACTGGCCCTGTGCTCTTGTGAAGATCAACAGCCGTGTCCTAAGGGGTTGTGCCTATACAACGCATAATGGAGTTTCATTGGGTTAACAGGGCAGGATGAGCAGTTTGCTGTGCCTGATTTCTTCAGCCTCAGTTGACCTTTTCTGCTGGCAAGTCAAAAGCAGGCTCTGAGTATTACAGGAGTGCCTGGAAACCCCAGCTGGGATCAGGACCATCTTACTAAATATTGTAAAAGTGTATCATTAGAAATGATACTGAGCTTGCCGAGCAGAGACAAGAAAGACAAGGGGAGGGGAAATGGTGTTTTTTGCCTTTTTCAGAGGCACAGAAAGATGATAGGTATGTCCACAACGCAGCAGGGCATAGTGATACCCGAACTAATGTGGGTCCTGGTAGCTCTGGGCCATCGTAGCTAGACTGCTTCTCCTTCTTAGGTGAGTTAGGCCCTCCCTGCATGGCTTCCCCAAGGTCTCAAGCATGTCTCAAGCAAGTGACAGCACATCTCCCAAATCCCCCACCCAGTGCCACAATAACACCCTTCTAAATCAGTTTGGTTTTCAGAAGGGCTTGGGGAAACATGGTGAGCACATCCCTCAGCAGGTGGGGAGGCAGGGGAGGGGCTGTTTGCAAACTGGGTCAATGGTGTTTGCTTTTCCTTATTATCCCAGTGGGACCAGTCCCGGGCAGATAGCAGGGCACCCATGAATGGTAGGACTGTCCTCAGAGCTACCCCACCATGCCCTGGCTCCGATGGGTTACAGTAAACTGTTGCACTGAGCCTTCCTTCACAAAAAACAACTGAGTAAAGGAAACTCAGGGGGTAAGAACATGCTGCAGGCTGATACAGCAAGGTGAGTGTGTGCAAAAAGATGGGCAGCACTGCTGGTGACAGCTGTTTTTCTGAATGAAAAGGCGAGGGTGCCAGCACCGCACCAGCACCTCCTGAGCACAGTGAGGTTTGGGAGATTTCCAACAAGGATGAGCAGGGCATGGAGGAGAGTGGGAGGAAAACAGCACAGTGCGACTCTTGGACCACTGATACCAATTTTGCCCCTATTAAAGCAAAGGTAAAAACTGGAATGTGACAATGACCTGCTTTGTCAGCAAGATAGTGGTCAAAACGGGGGGTCTGCTTTCAGTTGCTCATGTACATCTGGCTTATGGACCAGCCTTCCTGATTATCTGGTACTGAGGTATGAAGTCGCAGACGTGGCAGCGATTAGCTTCCCATATTTACTAGCATTAAAGACACAAGAATGCAGAGAGGGAAGATTATTCACTGAGGAGTGGATTGAGCAACATCCCCTTAATTCAAACCACTCATTTCTGTTCCAGTAATTGCATCATAAACGGAAGAGTGCAGCCAGTCTTCTGAAAGCAGCTTTTAGCCAGCTTGCATTGAAACAGCCAGCTAACCAGAACAGCCCTTTTACAAATGGTATCAGATTTACTTCATAGTAATTCTTAGGCCCTGATTCAGAGTTAAAACCACTTGGGCGGGAGAGCTGGAGAGTTTACCGTGTCTGCAGTTGTGTTCTGGTGAGGTTTTCAGTCACCCAGACGTTAGGATCTCCCTCTGGCA